AAAGAAATAATTTTGCTCTGTCAGTTTTAAAAAATGAGACTTGAGGTTTTTGTAAAAAGTACTTTACAGGGTCAGGAACGTTCTGTTGGTTCTGTAGGTTAATCTCATTTTCCTCTGGTTTTCAAACAAAGTTGGGACATTTTTTGTCCTGAAAGTGTACAAAAACACACACACACACACACACACACACACACACACACACTTACGCTCACTCTGGTGTCCCAGGGCAGAGATTACTGCTCTTATCCCAGAGATACTCACCAAGGCAGGCAGAGCCCTGAATTATTGATGAGGTCTACGTGTGTATACGTGTGTGTGTGTGTGTGTGTGTGTGTGTGTGTGTGTGTGTGTGTGAGAGTGAGTGCTGTGTGTGTCCTTCTCTGTGGTGAGGATCCAGTATCTCCCTCTGGGGGGCTGAAAGACAGAGAGAGAACGAGAAAGAGAGACAGAGAGAAGGGCTGGAGGTCATAGAGGTTAAGTGAGGGGGGGGCCGGGGGATGAGGTCATACACACTCTCACCCACAACACAACCCTTTGGTAGAGCATTGAAATCCCCAACACACACACACACACTTTCATACGGTTACTTGCGCTATTTTTCACAGAGCACTGATTATTAAGGCTGACCAGTACAGACAGAATACCAGTATTGTGATTATAATGATTGGTCTGCATTAGTTTGACCTGAACAGTTAACTTTTGCTGGATTACGTTTGCCTTGATTCATCCAGGCCCCCCCAGAAACTCATCCGGAGCTGTGACTGGCCAGGATGCTCACAACATACAATAAAAACTCTGATTGATTAGAGGTCTTATTTGCATATCGCAGCCGAACTGCTTTATGTGATTTTTTAATAATTGAGTATTCTGAAGAGTTAATGACCGGACATTCAGTTAGCTGGACGGAATGGAGAACCAAACAACAGGTTATAGGCTCACTCTCTGAGGTTATAGCACTGATACTTCTGGGCTAAAAAATGAATGATTATGTTTGAAAACTTGCTTTACTGTTCAAAAATAGTCAGGAAAATCTTTAATTGTAGGTATAATGTTGAATAAAGAGGAGGGCTGAGTAACTGAAGCTGCCCCTTCAGATGAGCTGATGAGCTAACACTAGAGCTAGGGCCAACCAAAGCTTAGACTCCAGCAGCACTGCTGTGTCTGATCCACTCAGACCAGCGCAACACACACTAACACACCACCACCACATCAGTGTCACTGCAGTGCTGAGAATGATCCACCACCCAAACAGTACCTGCTCTGTGAGGGTCCATGGGGGTCCTGACCACTGAAGAACAGGGTAAAAGGGGGCTAACAAAGTATGCAGAGAAACAGATGGACTACAGTCTGTAACTGTAGAACTACAAAGTGCACCTATATAGTAAGTGGAGCTGATAAAATGGACAGTGAGTGTAGAAACAAGGAGGCGGTCATAAAGTTACGCCTGATCGGTGTATATATTTGTAATTAATAACACACTAAATTAGTTTTTTATTTATCAATTAAAATTTGACTTAGCAGGACGTGATTTAATGGGATGACGCCGGGGAACGTCTTCGTTAACGCCCACATGCGGCCAGCTGAAGAGGGGGGAGCGCGCCGGAGCAGCGTTAGCCTGTTGTCTATCTGCCAGGCTGTTCAGCAGCAGAGGGCAGCACCCAGAAGTCTCACATTGTCATGAAACGGCTCTTTCGGGAAACTGGCATTCAAAAATATTTAGGCTTGATTGGAAAAAAAAATAAACAGTATAACTGAGCTGTTACCTCAGATAAGTAAACATGGGTGGATGTACATCACTCCAGTTCACAGTAAAGCTATGGGTCTGAGTGGTATATAAGCTGTCGTAAACCGATATGTGCATTGATGCTGCGGGATTGTGTCTATCTAGTAATATGATCAATAACCCATACATACTCATAACCCTGAGAGGTTTTGTCCTTGAGCCTCTGCGTCCGATACGCTGTAGCGTGTGTGCCACCCGTGTAATGGAGAAACATGGGATGAGACATCATGCCTCCAGAAGATTTTCAGTATCGTTAGTTCAAACAAGCGCTACCGAAGGCCGTCAGCGTGTGTAATGTTTCGTGTGTGTGTGTGTGTGTGTGTGTGTGTGTGTGTGTGTGTGTGTGTGTGTGTGTGTGTGTCACATCCCTGTAAGTGTATCTGTTATTGCCACAGGGGCGTGCGCGTTGGTGTGTGACTCTAAAGGCTCCTTTTCATTGTTCCTCAGGGAGTTTGACAGACATTGAATTTGGCTCAGACTTCTTAGTGGAGATCCTTTTCACGTGTGTGTGTGAGACGTGAAACCAGATCTGTCTGTCAGAATCTCTGGAGCATGGCACATTTGACTTCTTAAAGGGGCGGTCAGCAAGGCCTTTCAGCGTGTTTGTGTTGTAGCAGCTTTGGGATCACTCAGTCTTGCCCAGTATCTTTAACAGCATTAATGAAAAAAAGATTCATCCGATTTCGAAATGATTTCACTTGTAAATCGTTACAGATCAATGCAGTAAACTGTGAATGGTTTAAATGAGCATAAAGTTTATTATGTAATTGTACAAGGTCTCAGTATGAACCTCCTCCAGCTGTACGGACATCAACGCCATAGTCAAATTCACCCCATACTGGATTGAGCATGTCGGGTGTCGCTGCACTCACGGCTCTTTCAGTGCGATTTCGGAGATCATCCAGTGTTGTGGAACCAACGACGAACCCTCTGAGCTGTTTCAGGTTCACTGCCCATGAAAATCACACTGCACAGTTGTGACGGATTCACTCTTATTGAAGTGGAGAACGCAGAACGCTTTCTGCTCAGGGGTCTCATCTCCCCGCAGACTGAAGGGAGCCATCTTCCCCTGACAGTCAGAAACTCTATGATCCCCCTCTTTCATTTGGATTGTGATTGGTTCCTAGGCGCCTCATGGTTGTAAAAATATGGCGCTTTGAAATCGGATGAATCTTTTTGAATCACCCTGTATGTCTAATGTAGAGTATAATCAGAATGTTTGTAGGAGAGCGTGACCGATATATCACTTGGTTGATAATATCGGCCAGTCTTGATGACCCGCAGTTTTATTTTATCGGCACGAAATATCAGAGATATTGATCGACCGGAAAAATACAATTTAGGCCAGAATCTTATCTCAAAACTGTTGGAAAATAATCTCAGGCGTCAGGCAGCATATTCATAACCATGTCATTTTCTGTGAGGGAGCTTTTAGAGCCATTTTATATCTTAATGATTTAATTACGCATTTCTTTAAATAGATCATTAAATAATGTTTCTGTATGTATTATTTTGAATGACGGTGTGGATATTGTGTATAATAAAACGGATAGTTCCGGTCCTAAAATCTGATTGGCTGAGCCATTGTAAAATCCACGATATTCCCACACGTATGACCACCTCACAGCAACTGAACTATATTACTGTATCACAGCGCTACGGCACGATAAAAACCCTTGTGCTGTTAATGGAATAGTCTTTGATGCTGCTTGCATGGAGCACAGAGTGTACAGATGAAGTAAGAACCCCTTTTTTTGTTTAAACAGAGGGGCTGAAACTTATGCTCTTAACTAGAACCAGGCTGGTCAGCGAGCTAACAGCCTAAACAAGCCCATCATTAATATCACAGACGTCCCAAATGACTGTTTCTTAGCTGTATTTTGCTCTGTTGGGCTGCAGGATCCAGTATTTAAACTCCTACGTAGTGCACTATGTAGGGAGCAGGGAGCCATTTGAGATTCAGCCCCAGCGTGAGAAGAGGGGCAGTGCAGGATTGATGCTAAATAAGAGTCTGTGGTAATTTGGTGACCAAGAAGTACCCAAAAAGCCAAAGTTTGTGCATTAAACAGTGCTGTGATATAATATGTTCATTGTTATAAGACAAATTCATGGGCGACCAAACGTTCTCCTCGTTCAGCGGTCCATGGTTGCTTAGCAACGATACCATAGCCTAAAGGAACTACGTTTCTTGGCAGAATACTTGCTGATGCCGATTATTATTGATAATAACTTCAATTATTTTCCGACAAAGTGTGCATTTAATCATATTTCATGTTGGCTGCCGTTTTCTAAAAGCAGTAAGCCACTCGATGCCGTGCGTTACTGTGATTTTATTACAGGGAAGGGAGTTTTACTACCTAAGAACACCCTTCCTGTGATAAAATCGCAATAACCCACAGCCTCTCGTGGCTTATTGCTTTATCAGCTGAGGTCATTTTAAGAGTGGCACACTTCAATAACGTATATCTGTGTGAGTTTGCATGTGCATGTATGTGTGTAAAAGGTTATCTGCCTGGAATAAAGCTAATCCGCTTTAGTGTTGCAGACCTATTAGGTAGACCAGGCCTAGCAGTCTTAAGTTAGCTCCTACCTTACCTGATCTGACCCTACAGTGACCTAAAATGACCCCTCTGGTGCTGCTCTCGTGTAGCCAGATGGCCTTGTTGTTCCTCACAGCCGCTGTTTAATTCAGTCAGTTTCCTTTTTCCGCTGTCTGTTTGATCCTTACTAGTGGATTTGTTTGGTTTAAATGCAGCCATTGTCTGTTGATGGGTTAATCTACAGATTATATATATGATTATGTATCAGACTGTTGGCGAGGCTTGAGATTGACCCCATCTGACCTCAGGCTGATTACACCTGATCAAGACTGATGATTTTGAGAACGACGAGAAGGATGAGAATGATGATATTGGGGACTCGTTCTGAAGGCTGTGATTTGATTACATTTGATTTTAGAAGGTCAGATTTGATTATATTCAAGTATGTTCAAGTATTGATGTCCACGCTTGTCCATGTTCCACTACTATGTAACTAGCCTCATTTGTAGAAGGGTGATTCTGAATCGAGTCGAATCATATTGAATCATGGTGAAATGTGAGTATTGATGATGCACCGAATCGTTTCGGAAGAACCGTAATCAAATTGAATCGGCGGAAACTGGCCTCCCTGTCGGACTGTTTCTGATCTTGTGTCTGTCTGTTTTCTCTCCGTTTAGGGTTCGCCTTTCCGGAATGGGCGTACAAGCCCGAGTCGAGCCCCGGCTCCAGGCAGATCCAGCTGTGGCACTTCATCTTGGAGCTCCTGAGGAAGGAGGAGTACCACGACGTCATCGCCTGGCAGGGCGACTACGGCGAGTTTGTGATCAAAGACCCTGACGAGGTGGCCAGACTGTGGGGGGCGCGCAAATGCAAGCCTCAGATGAACTACGACAAACTCAGCCGAGCTCTCAGGTAAAGCTCTTCGGCTCCGTTCTCCATTTCAGTTACTCACTCTCTTTCAGTTGACTGGAGAAAACCAACTGCTTTTCTTTTCCTCTTCTTATTTTTCAGTTTTACCTCACAATGAGAGCCACTACTGCTCCCCTAACCCCTGTGTGGTGTTGGGGTCTGTGGGACCCATTTTCAATGTTTACCAAAAGAAAAAATAATGCAATTTATTATTATTTCAACCTCAGATTCTTGGCCTTTTCTCATTTTCTGTGAAGAACATATAAAATAACCCATTTTCAGTGCCTTCACTCTGTTCACCCCCCACACATTTATATTACACATGTGGCGTTGGGTGAATCAGCGGGGAATAAAAGTGTGGAGGTGCTGTGTCCTTCACTCTGTTCTCCTCCTACATGGCCTGCTGTTAGTGTGGGTGTGTGTCTGTGCGTGTCTGTGTTTGTATATATGTGTGTGTGTGTGTGAGGGTGGACAACATGGACAGGCTGCTGACTGGCTACAGCTGCTAAAGGAGATCCCTACATTATTTTAAACATTTGGTATTTTTACATAAATTGCTATGACTGTATTGATTGAAACAAACAATAATGCGGGGGGTCCACCAGACCACTGAGTAACACACACATCAACACCACACAAGGGTTAAACTTCAGCTCTCAAACTAGGCACACCTCTTCCTATGATGATGGAGATTGACTTTACTTTTCATGTTGATGAGACTTATAATTTTTGAAATACTAAAGTTTTCCTGTTCAATGTGATTCTAATTCAGTCTCATTGGAAATCGGAAAAGGCATAGGACATAAACCATTGTTTTTAATGGCGCTGTACACACTGGCGCCAATACATTGCGCCTGCAGACGTTTGCCATTACTACATTCAGTTAAAACCATATCGAGACCAAAGAAAGTCACAGTAGATCACATGTGGCTTGAAATTTACACGGAGAAAGGCCATCAAATGCTAATGTTAAGTTAGCTCAGCTAACCTTACTAAACCAGCCTTTTTTCAGCTCGTATCTTCCAGCTCGACAACATCCAGCCTGTGGAGAGGTAGTCAACTGATGCCAAGCGTGATACGTGATGCTGAATGCTTTATTTCATTTAATTTATATGAGTAGAGTGTAAAAATGAACTTGAACCTAGCATACCTACGCTAGGCACCGCACGTCCGGTGGCCTTTAGGCATCTGCCCAGTGTCAGTGAGCTCAGTGTCAATGGTGATTTGGCCATAGCTTCTCTCAGCATCAGTAATATTTGACTGTTATTAATTTTAATTCACATAATTACCAGCTTTAGATTCTGCATTACATTGCATTACATTCTTGCTTGTGTTCTTGGCGGATCCTGGAACTATTTGCAGTATTTAGCAGGGAGTGTTCCTCCACTCACCCTTCCTTGAGAATACTAATAATAAGGAGTCCTGCACAATAAGCATTAACCTTGAGGGACCTGTCTAACTTGACCTGTTTATAGCTGAAACTTTGGACTCTGGCTTTGCCTTAGTGTTGTCAGTTGATGCCTGTTTTTTTACTGAACTCTATTGTCATGCTGCCACGTTAACAGGCTAAACACACTATTATCAACGTAGTCTAATTCCAAACAGCACAGTGGTGGTGCTGGAGTGTTTCAGCTCGGGTTGGGTGTTGTTAGAAGGTTAGGATTACGTCTGAAATATGTTCGAATTTATCACAGTATCTTTCCATCATGGGCTGGATATAGATATCTGAAATTAATTTACTGTATATTTACTTAGTTAAACACCACCATCTTCAGACATTACAATCCCAGTCTCATCCCATTTTCTTCCGATTCCTAAAAAGAATCAGCAGGCTGCACCCAGCCCTAGACCCAGGCCTGAGTGGCTGTTCTCTACCTGTTGCGCTGATGGGGCACACCAGGACACGGCTTGAGGGAGCTTATCAAGAGATGAGGACATGGAGAAAGTTCTGGCCAGCAGCAGTGCCGAAGGCACTTCCAGCACTCGTCCTATTTCTGCCCTGGTCCTGATCTGCCTTTTTTTGTGAATGGCTGAGGCTGACAGCACTATTTATTTTTATCGGACCAGCACTTATCCTCGTGAAGAGCTTACGGACTGAGCAGGGCTTCACCTTCTCCGTTATAAAGCCATCCAGGCTGCTTAGGCGCGATGCGATGCGCTAATGTTATTACAGCACCGACGCCATGTTTTGTACAGGCTGACTCATCGCTGTTGGCGGCAAAACCCGCAACACAGCACTGTCAATATTGGCCACGGGATTGTGTGGAGGCGGTCGCCGTACCTCTATCTCTGTACACGCTTCTGTGTGAGACCGGATCAGTCAGGGGTGGGCGATATGATATGTTATTGTTATTGTAAAACAGTACGTCGCAATACACTGTTCTGGGTGACTTGCGTGTCACTGAACAACTGCATGCACCGTAAGATAGACGACCAGTTGAGCCTGTAAAGAACAACAGCAGCATAGTAACTGCATAAAATATACACTGTAAAAAACGGCTCATCAGATCAACCTAAAAAAATATTTGGTAAAAAAAATAAACTTTTTTTGTTTTATTCAGACAAAATGTATACTTTTGAATGAACGATTCTTTCAAAGTAATTTTTTTAAAATTAATAAAAAGTTATTAAAACTAGTTCAATTGCTTGTTACTACATAAACTATTTTTACAGTGCATATTAAGTAGCTTATTGGGTCTCAGCACATACACTTTAGAATAGGACTACCTTGATAAAGCGTTTATTAATGGTTTAAAATAAGTTTATTAACGGTTATTGTTTAGGTCATAAACACTTTTAAAATCATTAATAAGCAATTATAACACACAAAGAAAGAGGTGAGCTATTGTATCTGATGACTGTGGATATGTGAGGAAGCTGATAGTTTAATGCTGACCGATGGAGACGACAAAGGAAAATCAGTTCAAGGTCAAAATCTGAGGTTTAACAGTATAAATGAATGTGGGTTCACTATTAGGCAAACATCAGATCACTGTTGCCCTTCAGACTGGTTAAAATTAGTTTATTAATGGTTATTACCTACGTCATAAGCACCTTATAATCATGAATAAGCAGTTATAAACCAGAATGTTTCCACTATAGTTTCATTTTCCACCGACTCGCGAGTGAACAACGTAGACTCGAATTTACAGGCCAATTTTTAGACGTAAGGTGGCTCAGACACTCCCTAAACAGTAGCAATGTGGATGTTAGTGATGATCAGTGGAAGGTTTCATATTTCACTGTAAAATAGCTCCACACTGCACTTTCAACTTCTGAAAACACACCTATAGGCTGTTTCCCAAAACTAAAGAAACAAAAGAGAACTGGAATTGGATTACAGCCGATACACAATCCGTTTAAAAAAAACCTGGACCGGATCTGATCCTGATCCTCTTTTTAAAGCTGGTTCTACTGTTTTGCTGGTGCATTTTGTTCGTTCTGTCTAAAGAGAAGGTAAATATCGTGATGCAGAGTGTACAACGTAAAATTGTCTTCAGGTTTTGTGACGTTATATCTTTGCCGCTTGACCCACCGCTAAGATCAAACCTCCGCTGAAGTGATGAATCACTGCGGAGTTTCTCAGTCTGGCAGAATAGTTAATGCGAGCTGTCCGCTGGGGGAGCTTTGAGGATGGCGAGGGTTCAGGCTTGAGAACGACAACAAGTGATTTAACGCGCACAAACATTGAAAGGATCCTGCTGTAGCCGAGCCAGGGGGGATTAAACGGGTGTGTGTGTGTTTGTGAATAAGTGTTTTTCCGTCATTAATCCCGAGTGAATAAGCTCCGTCCATGTCCTTAAGGCTATACCACCCAAGTCCAGCAAATCCGCCGCTAAGTTAAAGTCTATTTTAAGCGCTCTGCCCGTCTGTTTTAACAGATTCTTTGCGCGAATGATGTTCAGTGTAAATACACAGTGTTATGTGGGGCTGAGAGGGAGTTTAGCTCAGGCTGATGTCCTTACTGAACCGATGTCCTTACTCCCTCACCTCAAACTTCGCACTGACTGCGGGTTTGGATCCGCTCCGTTATGCAATGACGCTGATGTTTCAAACTCACTCTGCTTTTCTGTGTATTCATTTACAAAATTCAAAAAACCTATACAACTGGAAAGTAATGAAGATATTTTAGCTTTTCACTGCCAACATTTATTCACCTTAACTAAACTTATGGGGGCAGTAAAAAGGTTTAATTTACTGTCAATGTCATGCACATTGTACACCAGTCTGATTCATCTAAAGAGAGAAATTCTGAAGCACGAACCCCGACTTTAACTTCCTTTACACTCATTTCAGGTAATAAAGTTGTTATGTGCTTTAATCTGTGTACGTGGGGTGATTTTCAAGTCGTGGTGCTCAGTTTATGGCTTTGACCCGCGGCAATCACCGGCGCGGCGCCCCTCGCTTTCCTGCCCGGCGCGTGTGGAAATTCCCGCACTGTGGAACGACATTGTCTCCGTGTTGACGTTCCACAGCAGGTCAGGACGCACACGGCTTCCCCTGGGCTCCAGAGCTGGGGGTGAGGAGGTTTGGGGTGGTTATGGAGCCCCTTCCTGCTCCCGGCCCAGCTCTCATCCCACTCGCCCTCCCACCGCCGGGACACAATGGATTCCGTGTGCACCGCACAAGTGGTCACTCTTTACACCGAGCAGTTCAAACGCAATCAGTAACACAGTAAGACGTTCTGTTATTTTACTTGGTAGCTACATTCACAGATAGCATTTTTCACGGAGTTGTTTATTTACTTTTGCGTCTTTATCATTCTTTGCTTCTTTTTTGGTTTTCCTGCCTTCAGGAACATTGTTTGCATTGCGTTGTCGTTGTGATGTCGCCAAAGAAAGGAATTTCCACTCCAACGCCTCAGCGTACCTCTTGCAAAACGGAATTCTCGAGGGTTGTGAGAAGCCGAAAGCGTCTTCGCGAGCCTACAAGCTCGCATACTTTCTGTGGTTTCGTGTTGCCTGTCACGGACGCTCCACATGACACTATGACATTTTATGACA